AGGGTGGTGAGACATCAGAACAGATTGCCCAGAGAGGTGGTAGATTCCATCCCTGGAAACATTCAAGGCCAGGTTGGACGGGGCTCTGAGCAACCTGATCTAGTTGAAGACGTCTCTGCTCATTGCAGGGGGTTTGGACTAGATGACCTCTAAGTTCTCTTAGAAACCATACAAAACCAAGCCCTGATCGGTGCCGTAGTTGCTTCTGTGGGTCAAGCTGCTTTTCTTGGCATTGCTTGTGCCACAAGAATTGCAGCTAGTGTTGATAACCAATGCCCCAATGTCTTAGACATCATCTTCAGGCAGGTGCATTGAGCATGATGAACTGGACAAAGAAGAGGAAAGGAAGACAGGGAGAGAGAGAAATGCTAATGAAGAGCTCAGTGCATTGCGGTGGTCATACGACATCTCCTGTTACCGTAGCGCAAACCTGCAGCCACTGTCCCTGTGCTGGTTATGCCCTGTGCTCTTGACACACTGTCTGGAAGGGATAAAGGCCAACTCAGTGACTCAAGAAAGCGAGGATTTTTTTCCTCTGTTTTACCACAAACTTCCCGGAAAAAAAGCAGCTTTGTACTTTGGTTTCCCATTGAAAGAAAATGGGCACATTGCACTCTCTGGAAATACAGAAGGAGAATGTAACATCTTGGAAGAGTCTTAATTCCACATAGCAAAAGCCTGTTTCATTTCTGACACTGAACAGTGCCTCGTGGGCAAATGCAGTCACCCAGATATCCCCACTCAAATGTGTGCTCTGAATACCTCTCATTTGATAAAAGCTGCTTCCAAATATCTCCCTTCTACTGAGCATCTGTGCATCCTCAGATACATTTCTGCATCTTTCAATGTTGAGTTTCAATTCATTTCACTTTTTCCTTTATTTTCGTAAGCTCCAAAGCCACAGACCAAAACCACAAGGAGACTCAGGCAGTCTAGATAGCTTAAAAAGTGGAGTAATGCTGACAAAACAGGACTGCCCATGGTCTCTCCTCCCACAGCTATTGATTTACTTGGGGTAAGAGAAGGGCTGAGAAAGGCTTTTTGTACGGGGCCTCTGTCAAAAAAAAGGCAAAAAGAAACCACTGACAAACAGAGTGCAGATTTGGCCAGGTTCTACTTCAGTTGGTGTAAAAGAGTTTTTTTCATCTTATATGGATGGAAGAAATGTATTTATGCACTGAAACCTGCCAACAAATGTTCTTTTCACTTCCAGAAGACCAGAATAAGGTGAGCCTGGATCACCAACTTCATGTGAAAGAGGAGGGTCCAGCAGGATGTTACCTTTTTTTTTCTTCTATACCTGTGCCTGGTGCACATTTCTGTTGCTGGTTCAGAATCCTGCAGCTCTTTCCTGCTCTCTGTCAGCTATTTGTCAGCTCACTGCATGAACCAAAAGCACCTCAAGGCAGCGCTGAGCAGCCCCCTGACCCTGCAGATGCAATGCCCTGAAGTTCCTGTTAACATTTATTTGCTGAATTTTCTCCCATGGTTTCTCACAGGATGAAATTATCTCGAAAGTGCTATCACAGGTCTGGAATCTCTGTGAATTTTTATCTCTGGTGGGTTTTATCTTTTCTTCAGCAAAAGACAAGGTCAAGCATTTTGTTGAGTCCAAAAAGACATCAAAGGAAAAGGGTGAGGAAAAAAAAAAAAGCAAACCCTCTGTATAAAGCATTTCAGAGTACTCATGCAGCATATTAAAGAGTGAAAGGAGCTTTCTGGCTCCTATCTGGCTGTTCTTGAAATTGTTAATGCGGTTTTGTTCCATTATTAATGACACCAGAAAGAGAAATCAGGCCTTCCAGACAAACTTGACAGACTCTCAGACAGCAGAAAGAAGGAAGGGGAAAACCCCCTTAAAATAATGGAAAAAAGCAAAGGGAAGGGAAAATTAAAATACTGAGCATGTAGCAAGAAAAATCTGCAGATGTCTGCTGCAGTGTAGGGATGGTGAACCTAATCTTTTACAAAGCTTGTAAATCGTTCCCAGAGCCTGCTAGTTTAAGGACACTTTGTTATTAAACAAGGAAAAACGAATTTCTTACAGACTGTACTATATTGCTTAGTACATTCCTGTTTCCTAGAACTGCTGTTTGACAAGCAGAGATAAATAAAACCAGAAGAGCAGAATTAATGGATGGAACTTCTATAACCTGGAGCTGCATATCATTTGCCTCATCTGAATGTGATTGGACAGGATTGCAATAAAAAGCTTTGTTAGGAAAGTACATCATGAGTATGCCAAGGTAAGTAATCTCAGGATTAACACTCCAATCTGGCCTTCCTGAAAAGTTACCCTGAGTTAACCACCAAATCCTTGCAGAAGAGCGGGGCAGGACGCACCCCTTTGCTCCCACCCAGCAGAAACAGCTCCACCGCTGAAGCCTTGCACCAATGCCCAAGCGCTGAAGCTCAGGATCCACCACCAGCTCACCCACAGCACCCTCTTCAAACCCCATCCCAACAGCAGAAGAGATCTGCTGAATCCCATCCTCCATTGTATTTGGGGTACTGGGAGACACGCAGATGCTGGGAGGACTCAGAGGGGCCAAGTATCAAGGTTAAATTTGGTTAGACTGGCTGCTAATCAACAACACAGCTAGCATCAGTGCTCCTTGAAGTCAAGTGATTTGTTCTGCGGTCACCTGCCAATGGGGCTGCACCCCGTGGTCCCCAACACCAGTCGCCCTGGTGCAGCTCACCACGGCCGTGCTGTGCGGGCTGCCAGCGGGGAGCCTGTCTCGAAAATCCCCCCCGCCCTCCGCAGCTCCGCTGCCACCCTGCCCAAAGTGCTCATCCATCGCTGCCGTCTCACACCCAGCCACACCTCTGCTTAAGAGAAACCTCCTCCCTTGCAGAAGGGGTGTTTGGGGCACAGTGAGAGAAAGAGTTGCTTGCAATGGGTACTCAAGGAGAGAGGAACCAGCTGGCTTCCAGATAAATAGGGTTTATAAAAATATGATTAAATGCTTTCTTAATACTGGACATTTTGCCATATGTGTCACTGCATTTCTTGAGGTGCAGTTTGTGTTAAAAAACCTCCACCTTTAGACATTTTATAATTTTCCCTTTAAAAATAAGGAATCTGAAAGCTCTTTGTTGTTAATTACTGATGATCAAAACAAATGCTCGTTTTCTTATCCCAGGACTGAACATTTGACCTATACTGCAAAGCCAAAACTGCCAATATTTGGGAAGATCTCCAGACCTGGATTTCAATTTTATGTCTAACATCTGCCTTTCCAACAGAGTAGATTAAATCAATGCAACCAGTGTGATACATTTTAAATTACTCAAAGTTCAATTCATTTTATTTGAGCGTATGACCCATATGCTGTGCTGCCAAAATAGGTTGCTGGGCCAAGAGCTCAAAAATAATTTCAATAAATGTTTAAAGAAATGAATAAGAAAAAATACATAAATTTACATTACCATGAGACCTTCTTTAATGCTTTGAGGAAAAAAAACTGACGTGAAGCAATGGAGTCAGGAAGAAATTTTGCTACTGGGGATCTCATTTTCAGCAGGGACACCCAGACACAATGCCAGCCTGACACAGCAGAGGGAATCTGGCAAAGCACAGGAGCAGCTCAGATGGGGTGGAGGGAAAGCACTTCGTAGGCTGCCTTTGCAGATGAAGTGTAACCATGCTTTCAGGCACTTCCAGCACTGCAGCAGGCTGCAACACCTATGTGAGGTCAAATATTTGGGCAGTATGACTTCACTGACCTCTTCTCCTCTTGTCCCTTCATCTGACTGCCATTTCTGGAGCTTCAAGAGATGCACCAGAAGTCAGGGAAGCTGGAGATGTTATTGCAGCCTGAATAAAAGGTGGACCCTGGTAGTCCATGCAGATTGCATCCTCTGTTTTCAAGGCCTGACCTAAGTTCTATGAAGTCCCCCCGCAAGTAGAAAAATCTAATGTGCATGTAGAAAACCCTAATGTCACATGAAAGCCAGCTTTCACCTGGCTGCACATGACAGCATCACAAGTGTTGGGAAGCCCCGGGGGGAGCAGGTCCCCTGCAGCCTGCCCGGGGCTGTGCTTTGGCCACCCAGACCCCCACGGGGCTCACTTGTCACCCTCACAGACAAGCAGCGTGTAGGGAAACCTGCACAAGTCTGTACGGAGCAGTGGGTGCCGCGGCTCTGGCAGACCCCGGCCCTCCCTCCTCGCGTGGGGAGTTGCCCTTTCCTCCCACTCACCCTGAGAAGTCTGTGCTGACCAGCAGGCTGAGACGTCTTTTATCCACACCCTATTAAAGAAAACTTGAGGAGGAAACACGAGGAAGAGGGGGATGGAAGATCTGCAAAAGTGCCACCCTGGCATGTAACCCTTTCACCAGTCAGAGGGGCAACTCTGCTGGGGGTGCAGATGGCCTCTGGCAGCATCCACCCATGATCGAGGGTGAATTTTCAGGATTGGGGCACTCACATGTTTTCTAATCATGCTTCTCCCTAACTCAGCGTCCCGTGCTTTCTGAAAGGACAAGCATTTCTGGGGACCTCCTCTCGATGACAGGGGAAGGGAGAGAGGAGCACCCAGTGCTTGTGCTGGGCTCATTTTCCAGCATGGGCATCTGCGGAGAGCCCTGGCACCCTGCCCAGCCCCGTCACCCCACCCGCAGCACCACCAGACTCCGAGCAACAAACGCCCCGAAGGGAAATTTCCCTTACGGTTGCGTGTTTCCTTAACAATCACACACACACACACACACACACACAAAAAAAAAAAAGCATCCTCGGCCGGGTCGCTGGGCTCGGCTCAGCCGCTCCGGCCGGGGGTCCGGCGGGGCACGGCTCGCCCCCCCGCCGGGAAGCGGCGGAGCTGGCCGCCCATTAGCGCTCATTTCCTGGCTGGGGCGATGGCAGGCGGCCGGGCAGCGCTTTCCCTTCCTCAGCCAATTGCATCTTCAATCTGTATCGGAGGATCGCGGGGTGCGGGGCGGGGGAGAGCCCGGGGGCCGGTGCGGCGGGGCTGCAGCCAGCCCCGGCGCCGCGGCGGGCGGGGGAGGAAGAGGAGGGAAAAGAGCGAGGAAGAGGCCTGGGGCGGGCAGCCCCCCGGGGTCGGGCCGCGCTGGCCGGAATGCAACCCCTGGGGCATCGGCTTCTCGCTGATGAGACCGCTCCAGGGCTGCCGGGGACGGGACGTCGTCGTGGGGACCGTCACCCTCTGCCTGGCCGCCGGCTGGGCTCTGCAGTGTAAGTGTCCGCCGCCGTCCCTTTCTCCCCTCCGCTTCCTCCCCTGGCTCCTTCCTCCTCCTCCTCCTCGCCGCGCTAGCCCCGGCTCAGCCCCAGCCGCCCGCGCTGAGCTGCCGGCAAGAGCCCTTCCCAGCCCGGCCTTCAGCAGGAGCGCCCGGAGAGCTGCTGGGGAGGGGATGGGGACGGGGTAGAGCGGGGCTCAGACGGGCATCACTCTCCGTGCAGGCTGGAAACGGTCTGGGAAGGCTCGTCCTACTCGGAGCCAGCAACAGAAGGGAAGCGAATCCTGGTGAACCAGCCCGAAAGGGCTCGGGGTCACGCTGGGAAACGCAGTGGGGAAGAGGGAAGGTGGATTGCAACCCAGCACCCCACGCGGGGTGAGTGGGGAAGGGGCAGCACGCAGAGAGCCGGCCGGTCCTTTCCAAGCCAGGGCTAGAGGAGGCTGCAGCCGGCCCCCCACGCCTGGGAACGGGGGTGGGCAGTGCCACCCGTGGGATTGGGTTAGACACGTCACACCGTCTCCTTCATCATAGAAAGTGATGCACAAGCAGGACGCCGATGGGTGGATGAACTGTCTCCCCAGAGTTGGAGAGCTCCATCTCAGAGCTGTCCTCCCCATTTCGGAGCTCCTGCGTGGGGGCATCTCGCTTCCAGCCCTTTCCTGCCCGCTCCCAGCACGCTGCAGGCCCAGGGGCTGGGACACAACGCTGCGCGTCCAGCTTTGACTCTGGGCCAGGCAAATACTTGGGAGTGCAGCAGCACGCCAGGGACAAGCAAACGCACCGCACTTGGGGCGGCATGGGTACCCTCTCTCCTCGGTGCGTGTGTTACTGGGCGTGAAGGGTCTGGTTTTGCAACCAGCTGAAGCACAGTGGCCTTGCGCACGGTGCTGCAAGTGGGTGTGATGTTTGCTCTCACGGCTGGTGCAGCTCTGTTTGGATTAGACTGGTTCAGGCGATCTATGCAGACTATGTATTAAAAATATTTTTCAATGGTTAAATATTGCATTGCCTTTATCAGCTTTGTGTGCTCGGTAGGGACAGAACAGGTTTGCAAATAATAAAAATCTTTGCATTAATTTTTTTTTTGGTTTCATTTACCTAGCAATCACATATTCAAAACAAAGCCATGCCTTTATCAAAACATAAAAGGGTCACTGAGGTGAGACACTGAGCTCCTGTCTGGTCAGAAACAGTGCAAAATGCCTTTAAATAAACACATGGAGCAGAAAACAATTAGAACAATTTGCAGCGATTACCAGAGGTTCCTGTCTGTTCTGTTTCTTTAGCTGGCACAAACCCCTTTTTCACAGCTCTGGTTAGTCTCTCCTGCACAGAGGCTGAACAGCAGACCTACTGCAGCTTAGCCGAGGATGTGCTGGGCTACCTGGGAAGCGTGGTAACCGCAATGTCCCTGCAAGGGGACAGGGCAGCACACGCATAAGACACCCACAAAGGGGGAATCCCAGGAGCATTATCTTGAAAAAAGCCGAGGTCCTATCTAGTTAAAAAAAAGAGCGGCTGGGGCTTTCTCCTGTGCTGGTCCCATAGGTGAGGACCTGGGAATAAAACTGGATTTTGGAGCTTCCCTGCCTTACCTTGACCAGCAGTTTCTGAATTCTGCTAGAGATGCCCAGGAGTCCTGCTTTGTGTTCCTTCAGCATAGCTAAGGGTCTCATCCTCCCTCTCCACTGGGTTACAGACATTTGCAGCTCAGCATTAATTTTTCAGTTCTGCTCTTTCAGTCAGGTTGTTCCCACAATATGAGGTGAGCGGGTGAGCTGCTCCAAGCCAAACCAGGAAAAGGTATTCAGCAGTGAGACTTACTCCCTGCTTTATCTGCCTTTTGCCTTGTTTGATTTTTGTGCGTAGATAACAGAATTTCAGTCTCTGGCCACGTGTCTCAAACATGCCACTAATTATTAAAAAAAAAAAAAAAAAAAACAACAAAAAACCATGCCATTTGAAACTCAGATGTTTGGTGTTGATGCAAATCTTCATGCAGAAATACCCACACGCAAGCAGAATTATTGCAGTTACACATTAAACTAAATGGTCAGTTCAGTTTCACAGCATTATGAACAGCTCTGTCATCACATCCGTAGGAGCTACCTAAGAATTAAATATTCTTTCACATGCATTTTTGCCTGGAAATCATCAGGAGCATGAAGTCCATGACTTTGCATGAAACTGTACCTTTGATTACATACCGTTTATCTGCACTGGCATGTAACTGGCTGCCTTTACAAAGCTGTTGTCTCAGACGTTGATTATGAATCCTGAAAACATGATCAAGTCCCTGACAAGTCTTCACATACTTAAGCCTGCTACAGTTCTTGCTTCTGGGGGATGGCATTTCATTAATATAATAGGTTACCTTGGCCCTGGCAATTAAACTTTCCTTTAAAATACTGCATATAAATGGAAAGCCAGTTACTGACGAATACAAAAGTATTGCTCAGTTTTCAGAAAATGTTATACTCCCTTAACCCCAAAAGACTCTTCCAAACTCTCCTCTGGGGTATCAAAATACTGAAACACATGCAATTACTTGTCCTGTATGGTGAAAACATTTCTTCTGACTATCACCAATTAAAAATGTGTACTTATTCTTTAATTTAAGTATGTATGTTCCTTTTATGGTCAGCAGAAAGAGAAAGAAACTGCAAAGGGTAATCCATCCCCTCTTAAAACAGACCACTGAGATAGGTAGGATGAATCACACCCCAGAGATCCCATCCTGCCTTGGAAGGTTGGTGCAGCATCACCTCCCAACTCATCACCCTCCTTTGTCTTTCAGCTCCCGGAGGAGTATCATTAGTTGTCCCACAACCCAACATCAACGCAACAGTGGCACAAAACATCCTCCTCTCAGTTGAATACTCTTGCAGAGGTGTCGCCACCATTGAGTGGAAACACGTGTCAAGCTGGGGCACCACCAGAATTGTGGAGTGGAGAAGTGGGAATTATGTCAACATATCCACAGTCTACAAGGACAGAGTGACTACTTTTGAAAATGGTTCTATACAACTTCTGAACGTGGGCATGAGAGATGCTGGCTACTATTTTATCACTGTAACGGAAGAGTATGGAACCAACACCTATGGCACCATCATAGTCAACGTTTACGGTACAGACTAGATGGGAGTTCTTGGCGTTACCCTATGTTTAAGCATTAATCTGCTCATAATCAATTTTATAATATTTTTTTCTGTCCTCTCTACAGAGATTATCTATGAAGATTTACATTTTGTAGCAGTTCTCTTTGCCCTTCTTGCTGCAGTATCTGCCATTTTGATCTGCTTCATGTGGCTGTGTAATAAATCTCTGCATCTATTTCAGAAGACGACGACACACAAACTAACAGGTATCTCCCTAAGAATGCAGTCAAGGTATAGGGTTTTCAAGTCTGAATTTTAAGCCAAAAATTCACTTGTGATTTGAGCCATAAAGGTGCTCAGCAGGGACACTGAGAAACAAGACTGGAAGGGCTCAGTTCAGTTATCCTGTTCAGCCCTTTACTAGCTGAGGCAACTGAATAATAGGTATTTAGTTGCAGAATAATCCATCAGACATCTACCTTACACATTTTACATCAGAAACCACAAAGCACTTCCCAACATTGCTAACTGCAACACTAAGGGAGAAAAGGCCAGAGCTGCAACAACCCCCCATCAGAGAGCAGGAGACAAAGACAAGAGCATCAGCAACACCGTCAGGGTCTGCACTGGAAGGGTATCTCCTAGGGGAAAATATTCAAACAGCCCTTGGGAGTAGCCTCCACCTCACTTCATGGAGAACTGCACCCCTACCTCTCCTCTGAAACCCACCTTTCATCTGTCCTCATGTTTGATCCAGTTGCAGGCTCCAATGAACACTGACTAATATGAAAAACCAGTTTCCTAACACGTGCCAAAGACACCAGTCATGAAAAGCAGATCAAGGGGACACAAGGGCTGCACTGAAGGGAACATTCACATATCGGAGAAGAAATTGCCAAGCCACAGCCAGGGATATTCAGCCTAGGCAGCAAGACGAGGTGCCACACTACGGCCTGGGCTCAACCTCTGGGCACATCATTGGGATGGGAGGTTTCTTTTACCACTTCAAAACATTTTGGGCGTTTACCTCCTTTCTTTGTAAGTCCAGATCCACTAGTGGTTTCTTGCTTTGTAGGTAAAAGGTCTGTATTTCTTCTCTAATAAGCACTGCTTAAGCTGTTACTTTATACCAATCAGCCTCAGTATCAGTACTTTACTAGAATAGCACATATACTCAAGAATACTAAGCCTCAAGGCCCAGACTGTGTCAGCTCTTCAAAACCTAATGAAAGAAGAGATGAATTTGGCTTGAGCTGTCTCTTCCTTTCTGCCACTCACCTACAGCTCTGAGGGCTGTTGCTGTTTTCACAGTGCACATACTGCTCACAAGATTCTGTAGATACAAAAAATTTTCCTAGCATGTCAGAATATACAGGCTTTTGTTTGAATAAAGCCTGTTCTTCCTTCAGTTAAAGCAAATCTTCCTACAGAGCTGAATCAAATATAGTTATCTGACCGAGTTCAGGAAAACCACAGTTACGGAGACTTGCTCTGTCATCTCACAGAACATGATCCAAAGCAGGAACCTAACTTCTGCCCCAACACCACCTTAGAAGAGCCCTCCTTTCAGAAGTCATGAAGAGAAGGACAGGCCCTATGGACTTGAGTTTTCATAGTGATTTTAGTCTTGTATTAGAAGAAATCTGTGTCACTTTATAAAGATTGTGAGGGACTCTCTATGCAGTTAAATATTTTGAAAAGATGTATTTAAAACCTAATTGTAGATGAGTAAGCTTGAGCTAATATTAAAAAGTTCAAAATGTCTCTGCTATTAACACAGCGTTGTTAATTTTGGAACGCTGGCCTTCCAATCCATTTGTCAATCAATAATAATATCCTTTCATTTGCAGCAAGTACAACTGAAGAGATTGAATTGGAAACCACTGAGTGTTAGCCAAGGACTGTCTCATAACAAAAATAACAATTCTACCTCAGGAGAAAGTATTGGCAAAGAAAGTAAGAAGAAACCTAAAAGGTAAAATGTTTGTAACTACTGTAGAAACATCCTGACTTGCAAACTAATTAGACATTAAATCAGTAGTGTCTGATGGAGCTGTTTCGACCTGTTAAGCTTTTGGCTCTGCTAGCCAAGGTCAAAGTAAAAAAGAGTATGCTTTCATGCTGAGCACAAATATATTTTTGTGGCTATTAATAAAAACTACAGCCTCTACCACTCTTGAAAGTAAGCAAGTAACCAAGCTCTAAGATCAACCCATAAAGGAAATGATCATGGTCCTGAAGGACACCTGTATTTTGGCTACAGCAAGTCTCCTATTACAGACAGAGCAGCCATTAACATCCTTCAACATAATAAATTTAATGTCTAATCACAGTATTACATTAAAAAATTAATTTTAAGGATTGAATCCTGTTTATTGCACCTATGCTGCTACTTTTGGGCATAAGGAATTTCCTGAAGCTCTGAAGACAAACTAATTCATAGGACAAAACTGACTTTGAAACAATGCCGAGCTGGTCAAAGTTCCCCCACTTACATTTCCAATTCTTTACACTGCCCCAGGATATTAACACACATTTTATGACATTACTAGAGAAGGTTGTTAAAACAAGGAACCATGCACAGGCACTGAAGAGGACGCTGTCTATAATGATTGGAGCGGTCCGATAAAATACTGACACATCACACCAGTGGGGTGGCAAAATACTGAACAGTTCACTGTGAAAGATGTCAAGACCTCTGCAGACTTAGCCCACCGACGAATAGCCTATCTGGGAAGAAGTGTTAAAACAGCATTACTTTGAAATTGAGCATTTACAAATACAGTTCTGAAATTGCTCTTGTTGAGACACGAACTTTGCTTTCCTATGTTGTAAGAAAATGAAGTGATCTATCTAATGTTTTCTTGAATCTAGATATTGCACTTATACTTTCCACATGCAGATCTGCTGGGTAGAATAACATTTGCTTTAGTGAGTGAGAAAACATTAAAGTGACCGAGCTTCAAATTATTCTGTTTTGCTTTCATAACAAGAATTTTGCAATGTGAAATAAACTTTGAAAATCTAAGAGACCATGGAGTAGTCTGTGTCTGCAGACTGCCACGTGGGTTTTTGAGCCGAACTGCTGCTACTGCCTTTCTCACACTTCACCTCACTTGTTTGCAAAAAACCTTTTGCAGAACAGACAGAATTTCCCATCTGGTCAGGGACTATGATGCTCAGGTGCAGAGGTATTATGAGATAGATCTGGGAAAACAGCGAATTTCTCACCAAGCGCATAACAATGCAGGTAGGTGCCAAACAGGCTTTTCCCAAAGCACTCTGTACACAATACCTTTAAAAACTCATCCCCGGATTGAACTGGCCATTTGTAGTACAAAGGGCATCTCACCCACTCATAAATTCAGGTTCCAGATTCAGCTAGTTGCTCCTTCTTGCATCTAGAAGAACAGGTCAAAAAAGGTGAGAAATGAAAAAAAAAAAAAAAAATTCCAAATACAGCAGAGCTTGGAAAAGTAATAGTTTGCTCTAATCCTTCACTTTAAGTTTGTATTGGCAATCTTTTGTACCTTTGAGTGAACTAAACAGTGACAACAAAGAAATTGTAAACATGTCTGTTTCAGTCACCAAGCTTGAAGTACTTTAGTAATGTATACATATAGCAAACATTATTATTTTTCTGTTTAGGTATTGCAGATTTTTTTTTATCCCTAAATCTTAGAACTTAAATCTGAAGTTATTCATTAGGCTCACCTGAGCATATAGCAGACGCTTTGCCAGACTTCTTTAGCAAATACAAAAAGTGCAGCTTACACATAACACCATTATTATCTGTTAGCATTGACTTGAATATTATAATTGCCAAAGGAAAAGCCAGGAAATGCATACAGATATGAATGGTCATTTGAATGCATTGCTGTAATTGTAGAGACCACTTATGCTTTTAAACTACAATACTTAAAAGCTGGGATGAAATTAGGAAATGACCACTTCTAATTCTTCAATTTAAGATGAACTATAACAGCAGTAAGAAATTTCCAACTAGCACAGTTCTACCTGGCTCAGCTTGGCTAAAGATACATCTATTTCAGGCACCCGTCCTTGGTTACTGACACTGGTGCCAACCTCGCCTGTAGGTAATAATATCCTAGACAAACACATGGGATCCAAAGAACATCCAGTGAAGACACAGTGCAGTTAGCCTATGCACTGCTTTTCTTTCACACCGTTCCTCACCCACAGATTTTACACAGATTTGAACATGCTTACTGTACATAGGTAGGGTCACTTAAAAATTACATTTTCTGAAACTGATGCATTATTAATGTCAATAATATTTGATATACAGAACATGAGGCAAAGCTGTCTGTAGCAGTTTCTTGGTACGCTGGAGGTGCCTGAAGTATCTAAAGTCTTATGGCAAGCTGTTAAAATGTAAGTTTAGAAACTAATAGCTATTCTTACTTCACTTGCAAACTCCACGTAGAACAGCAGCAAATTTAATATTTAGAGCACTCCAAGTGATCAAAAGGATTAAGCCATTTTAGTTTTAGACTTTAATTAAAGAGATGTCTAAGTTCACAAGACTGCTTTGGCAATCAGTTGTAAAGATCTTAATCATACACTAATGTCTTCGTTTCATGTTCAAAGATGCGCACTGCCAGGAATTTCAAGACTGTCCCTCTGTTAGAGGCCTCATCAGTCTGTTTCCATTAAAATTAGGAATCCATGTGTATTCAACACTAAAGGACACGCTCCAGGTCCGTAACACTTTTTTTTTAGCAGATAAGCCTACAAGTCTTGATAAATGTCTTTACTGCTAACATGCAGTGCTTGCACTTACGTAACACAAGAGAACTCCTCTTACATCCATTGTTTCTTTTCAGAAGGGGATAAATCCTGCAACTATGAGATCCTATTACTTCGTAATGAAGAGCTTAGTTGATGAAAAAGCTATCATCATATGCAGGCCTGTCAATTTAGGTTAAGAACAGTAAAGTGTAAAGACACAGTTAAGTTTCACATGCTCATCTTCTAATTATTAGTAAAAGAAGATTTGTTGTGTTGCCAAGAGTCAAAACAGCCTCATATAATCAGATGCACAAACAGATGCATCAGGCTGTTGGCTGAACTGTGCACCAAGAAGCAAAACCCCTCTGCCTGTAATCATAGAGTGCCTACCAGCCAAGCAACAGGGGACCTGGCACCACAGGTCTTTCGTAAGATTCACCTGTCTTTCAAGATCAAGAGACTGCTTTCAACTAATATTTTTTCATTTTCGTAAGCTGTCTTGAGTAACTCAGAGCCTGAAAGGAAAACCCTTTCTCTCTCATAGTTCAGTTGCACAGAAGCCAAGTACTTGAAGGAACTGAAATAATAGGATGTTCTGCACTGGCAAACACCAACATAAGTACAATAGCTGCTTTGGATACACACTGAGCAGCACCTTAACACAAGCATTTGCTTAAAATAGATCTCCTACAACTATTCTTTATTGCTCAAGAATACAGCAAAATAACAACTGTCACCATACAAGTATGATGTTCAATTCAAACATGTTCTATATGAAAGAAGTTCTCCTATATATACACACATCTATATATGTATACACACACACACACCTCATAACACACAATATGAACAGAAGTCTGAACCAGTTCATACAGGTTTCAAAAAGACCTTTAGCAATAAATCATCAAACAAAAGAAAAGCTTTGTGCAACACCTTACTAGAAGCTTTAAGAAGGCTACAATTACAACCAAAAGAGAAAAAAACACTTTTTTTATTTTAAAACAACTCAAAACAGCTGATCCTCAGGAGGATATTACTGTTACCCTGGATGATAATCAGTGACAGTGCAGAAAGAAAAAAACAGAACCAAAAGCAGCAGCACAAGTGTGGAGATCCAAGATCTACTGCATGAGTTACCTGCTTCTATCCAGACATCAATTTACACAAGCCACCCACAAACTCAAATGGTCAGAATTTTGCAGAGTAAGACCCTTTCCTCTACATGCTCACAAAAAACAAGAACAAAAAACAAGCAAAGTAACTAACACCACAGTCTCATTTATGGCTGTCAGAAAGACATTTGCCTCAAGCTGTGACTTCGTAGCACTCTCAAACAAATCACTAAGTAAATACATCTCTCAAAAAGAAATGGGTCACCCAGAAGCCACATCAATGTACAAACTCCAACTCAAGAATGTCAGGCAGTGAAGACTGTTCCTTGATTCTTAAGTTTTGTTTAGTCTTAATTCTTGACAAGTGAATTCTGCTTCTTCTCTGTTGTCCCACTGCTCAAATGAGTCCATTAGCTTCCACAAAGATAGCCATTCCCTGTGGTACAAGCCACTAAAAGGCTTATCAACAGCACAATTCAATTCTAATAATTTTCATCTTCCAGAAATACTTGCTAAGATCTATTGAGAAAAAGTAAGGGCACAAGGGAAAAGGGAATGACTCTGAGCAAACACCTTTCATGTTACAAAGGACTACTGAATTTCATTTTATAAAAGAAAAATGTTAATTAGCTATGTTACTCTGAATAGAGAAATTTGAAAAGATACAGCTGAACGGAACTTTTTCAGAAAGTTGTATTTTATACGTCATTGAAAAAAAGTTTTATTACAAACACTACAATGGACATATCTGTACAGGAAATGAATTTGCATTTGCTTTCTTGTACTGCCCCGTAAGTTCCGATTCCCTTTGCTGCACGGGAAGTGCTTCTTCACAGCACAGAGATGATTCAAAGCTGCCATGGAGTGGCTGATGGATTATTAGCATGGAGTTAGGGCAGCCATGAGGAGTTCCATTTTATACACAAAGTTACGCCCTTCCATTTTATTCCACTGCACCTCCTTGAACGGCCCTCGAAGATGATTCCACTTGTTGTCTTGCAGCACATCGCCTTTGGGGAGATCCTTGCACTGGCTCCGTGGAAACTGAACCATAACTTTGCTGCCACTTTCCGGACCATTACGTACTGTGATGAACAGAGATTTTTATGAGCATTTTTACACTGTAGGTATTCCTCATATTAAATATCCTTCCTTGTGTATGCTATATATTACTCCTACTCAATTCCAAACATGCTGAAAGCAATCAAGGGAAATTATCTTACTTTTTTTTTTTTTTTTTAATTTTCTCTTTCATCTCCCACTTTGCTATGATTTTGTTGCTTTAGCACTGCATGCTCTTGGTTAGAGCAAACCAGAGAAATGTTTGACAAAAAACCCCACACATACACCTTACAAATGCATTTATTTTTCCCGAATGATGCTAGGAAGGGCAAAGTTTTTTGCCAGTTCTTCCCTTGAATGTATTCCCTACCATCCTGTTGAAGAACTTGATCAAAAAGAAATTGTTTCTAATGGACTTATCTCAAACGGTCAGGAATTAAGTCAGTCAGGAGAGCTGCTGCTTTTAATCACAAAATTCTGCAACACTGATGGAGGGGTGGTGGTGTTCTATGGGCTTAGGTAGATTTTTGTGTTTTGATGTTGGGGAGCAGTGGTGATGTTTGTTTCCCTGTTTTTTAAATAAGCAGTTAGGGAGATAACACTTAGCTTTCCCCTCACCTACCAAGGTAGTCTTTTACAAAGAGATGACTATCAGGCTGACTGAATGCAACTTCTCCCTCAAAAATTGATGCCAACTATTCCCCATTACCTTCTTCTCCTTCATGTTTGGAAACTGCTTCTGGGACTGTTTTTTTTGCCTCAACTTTCCAGAAATTGCAGTGAGGCTGACCAGATTTCAGCCAGAGGTTCCCCAGATTCTCCTTCCTGAATATAAGATGTGGTATCTGCCTTCTTCCAGTCCTCAGGAACCCTGCCTGATCACCGTGACCTTTCAAAGATGATCAAGAGTGGCCTTACAATGACATCACTCAGCTCCCTCAGCATTCATGGATACATCCCACCTGGTCCTGTGAATTTGTGTACATCTAGTCTGTTCAAAGGTTCTCTAACTTGATCCTCCTCTACTGAGGGTAAGTCATC